TGCCAGCCCAGAGTGGGGGGCCTGGAGGTGTGTGGGGCTGGGGGCCGGGGTGACGCGGGGCCAGGCGTCGGAGCGAGGCGGGAATGCGGCGTTCTCTGAGTCATCTGGGTTTCTGAGAAGCAGCCGGGAGACACTTGCCCCATCCCTGTGGGCCCTGAGCCCGGCGCGGTGCAGCTGAGCCCCCCAGGGCTTGGCAGGGTCCCCGGGGGGCCCTTGGGGGTGGGGGTTTTGGGGACCCAATGGTCCCAGCCCCCTCGGCGGGGCTGTGCTGGCCCCCGCGGCACAGCCGGCTGGGAGGGACGGGGTCCTCCCGGCGTGGGCGGCCGAGCGGGCGGCTGGGTGGGACGTGTTTGCATTGGAGCGGGCTGGTTTCGCCGGGGGGGTTGGCAGCGGCACGGGGGCGGGTGCTGGGAGCCCCGGAGCTGGGGCGCCGCGGGGACCCAGCCAGCTCCGGGCCGCAGCCCAGCCCCAGGGGTGCTGCGGGGGGGCCCTGGGACCCCCACGGCCGGGGACCGAAGGGGTGGCTCTTGGTGCCGCCGGGAAGCGCCGGCAGCACGGGCCCGGCTGGGTTGGGGTGCTCTGGTTTCTCCCGACGCTGGCGAGGGGTCAGGCAGGGCAGGCCGGGGTGAGTCACAGGGAGCGGGAGGCCACTGACGTCAGAGGGCCCCGGGGACGTGCGTGGGGCTCCCCCGGGAACGCCGGGGTGCGGAGCCAGGGCTGGTGCAGGGTGGAGGGGCTGGAGTGGGGGTCCTGCCCCACTGCCTCCCCCTGTGTGCGAGGTGGGGCCGGGAGGCTGTGAGAGATCCCGCTCTGGAGCACGGTGGGAACAGGATGGGGGCTGGAGGGGACCGGTCCCCTTCCCCAAGCATGGGCAAGTGGTGCGTGGACCTGGTGTGCGGGGTCCCTGGGTGAGATCCCCTCCCTACACTGACTCTGAGAGCAGCAGCAGGGACGGGGTGGCCCAGCAGGCGTGAGGGGCTCCTTGCAGGGGCAGGAGGTGGCTGGAGGTCTGGACGGCTGAGCGGTGAGGACTGGCCTGGCGTGAGGCCACCCAGGCTGCCGTGGGCAGGGGAGCTGAAGCAGGACGGGGGTGGGGGTGACGCTTTCCTGGGCCCAGGTGCTCTGTGCACGCACACGCGTGTGCACACCCGTGCCCATGTGCGTGCCCCTCGTCCTCGCCCGCCCCCTCGCCCCGTAACCTCCCTGTCCAGAGCTGCAGTGTCTCCTTCCCGCCCACCCCTTCCTCTGCAGCCTCCGCCTGACACGCTCGGGGCTTTGCTGCTGGTATTTTTAAAGCTGCTTTTCCCACGGCTTCTCAGAAGCGGCCTCCGCGGCAATGGGGGAGCAGGGCCGGGGCCGGGGGGGCCCCGCTCTGCAGCGCTGGGGGCAGGGGGGTGGTGGGGCTGCCAGGGATCCTTCGCCACGTCCCGCCGCGGGTGGCGGCTGCGCCCCGAAGGTGCCGTGGGGTGTGGGTGGGTGACGTCGGGAGCCGAGCGCGGCACCGCACGTGACGGGCTGGGAAAGCCGGGCCCTGCTGTGCCCTGGAATAGCGCGGCTGGGGGGTGGCGTCATCCCCATTAGCCCTGACCCCGGGCCCTGCACACAGCCCCACGTGAGTGCCGGGCTGGCAGGGGTGAGACGCACAGACCCCTGCAGTGCAGGGGGGGCTCGGAGGGCTCATGGCTGCCCCGGCCCCGCCGGGATGACGGGGGGGCTCCCCTGTTCCCTGGCACAGCTGCCAAGTGATTTATGTGTCGTGGGGGCTGAGCGGTGTGTGCTGGGGGGGTGGCAGGTGTTGGGGATTGGGGGGCCCCCCACAGCTGCGGCCTGGGCAGGGTCAGGCCCCAGCTCTTGTCTCTGCGCTGCAGCTGCTCCATCACCTGCCGGAGCTGGAGCCTCCAGGCTGGGCAGGGCCTGCTCCCCACTCCACTCTGCCCTTGGGGGGTGGAAGGGGGGCAGGTGGGCTGCACTTCCCTGCCTGGCAGCCCTGAGTCACAGTGATGGGCATGCAAGGACCCAGCATGTCCTCACCTGCCCCCTCCCACTCTCCCTGTGCCTGCGGGGGCACCCCCTCACACTGGGGAGGGGCACCCCCTTCCCGGGCACTGGGCTGGCCAGAACAGCAGTGCTGGCCCCGGGGCTGTGGGACCTGCTGGGATCTGTGCTGGGGAGGGTGGCCGGGCAGAGAGGGCATCTTGCTGCTGCGGAATAAAGGGCAGGAAGGGCAGAAGGAAGAAAAATACCCCTCCGGCACCGTCAGCTGACAGAGCTGGCATTGGAACGGGGTCATATGGGGACAGCAGCCAAGCTCTCCTGCCAGCCTGGCACGGCTGAGGGGCTGGGTGGGGGTCACCCTTTCCCTGCCCCAATGACCCATCCCTACGGCTGTAGGAGACCTGCGGGGGCAACTGCCATCCCCCCTGCTTGGCCCCCAGGCAGGGGCAACCGCCATCCCCCTGCCTGGCAGCGAGGTGGGGGAGTCTGAGCACGGTCTCACTGTGTGCCACAGCTGAACGGGGTCCCTTCTCTCTGCAGGTCAATGACTTCTTGTCGGGCCGGTCCCCGCTGACCCTGGCCCTGCGCGTGGGGGACCACATGATGTTCGTGCAGCTGCAGTTGGCGGCTCAGCAGAGCACGGGGCAGCTCCAGCACCGGCACCTCATCGCCAGCCGCGGCGAGGCGGGGGCCAGCGCCAGCCCCCACTGCCGGACACTGCACGGCGCCGCCGGCTCCGGCTTCGCACGCATCCCCGTGGTGCCCACGTGCCAGCAGAGCCCGGCCCCCAGCCCCACGCCCGCCACGCCGGCCCCCCCCATGTACTGTAACGCCCCCCACCCCGCGCCCATCACCGCCGGCATGTTCCGGTCGCACGGGGCCAGCGCGCAGACGGTGAACAGCAGCGTGGTCTCCTCCTGCTCAGAGGTGAGTCTGGGGGGGTCTCGGGGTCTTTGGGGCAGGGAAACGAAGCTGTGAACTTCCCAGCCCTGCTGTGGCAATGCCTGTCCCTGCCTCAGTTTCCCCACGTGTGGAACAGGGTTGTCCCCAGTCTGGCCTCTGGAATGTCCCCAGGTCCCGGGGAGGGACTCAGGGACAGGGTGTAACCCTGCCTGTCCCACACCCTGCCTGTCCCCAAGAGTGGGCAGGAACTGCTGCTGCTTCCCTTTTCCCCTCACGCAGCACAGCAGGGCAGGGAAGGCTGTTGGGACCCCCAGGGCAGGGGACACTGTTGCATAGAGGGGTGGGACAGCCATACTTCCTTGTGTCCCAGTAAAACTGGGCTGGGGGTGCCTCCTGCTCCCTGCCTGGGGTGCCCCTGACCTGGCTGTTTGGGAGGAGGCAGAAGGGCGGGAGCTCCTCACAGTCCCCTTCCCAGAGGCTGATCCCACTTTTCTCCCCTCCCAGGTGGACTGTGGCTCCCGCAGCAGCAGCTCCCCAGGCAGCAGTCCGGCCCCCTCGGCCCGATCCCGCAAGCCCGGGGCGGTCATCGAGAGCTTCGTCAACCACGCGCCCGGGGTCTTCTCAGGGACCTTCTCCGGTATGTGATACTGGGGGCTCCTGGGGGCTGTGGTTCTGGATGTGGGGACGGTGGGGCTGTGGATCTGGGGGGGCTGCTCGTCTAACACCCACCTCTGCCCCTCTCCAGGCACTTTGCACCCCAACTGCCAGGACAGCAGCGGGCGGCCGCGGAGGGACATCGGCACCATCCTGCAGATCCTGAACGACCTCCTCAGCGCCACGCGACACTACCAGGGCATGCCCCAGTCCCTGACGCAGCTCCGCTGCCAGACGCAGTTCTCCTCCTCCTCCTCCTCCTCGCCTCCTGCCTCCCCAGACCTCGCCACCAAAACTACCTCAGAGTCGCTGCCAGCGGCCACCGCCCCCCCCCTTCACCCCGTCGTCCAGTGCCAAAGCCAGATCCGCATGTGCAAGCCCAGCGGTGAGTTTGGCTGCCCCCGACTGTGGGTGGGGGATGTGAGGGGGTTGCAGGTGCCTACGGTGTCCCCACTCCCCTGGGAGCTCAGGGGTCTTTCCCCGTCATACGGGCAGAGGTCTTGGGGTCACCCAGACTCTGCTGCCCCTCATCTCCCCATTTCCAAACCCACCTTCCCAGACTGGCTGGGAGGGCCGGGCCCCAGCGGGGTGTGGCAGGGACTCCCACGGCCCTCTGGTGTTGTGGGGACACACGTGTGTCCCTGGGGCAGGAAGGTGCTGGAGGTGCCCCCCCGGACCCCCGATTTGCTTAGGGGAAAGAAGTGAAACTGATGGTGCTGGCTGGGGGGGGGCTCATCCCCCTCAGGGTTTGCCCTTCCTTCTTTCCCAGACCTTTCAGGCCCCCACCCGGGGACAGCTCCGGGCTGGCTCCAGCCCCCGGTGACACGGTCAGGGCTTCCCAGGGTCGCCCCAACTCTCTCTCTCTGCCAGGACCCCAACCCCGTCCACCTGGCGGGACTTTGTTTGGGTATAAAGGGAGTTTTATTGAGGGGACCCCCCACCATAGACAGGGGCTGTGTGGCTGGCTGGGGGCCAGCGTGCCCCCCACCCCCAGCAGTCCACGGCAGCCCCCCACGAGCCCCTCTCCCCTTTCCCCCTGCAGGGGACCGCCTGAGGCAGACGGAGAACCGGGCGACACGCTGCAAGGTGGAGCGGCTGCAGCTGCTGCTGCAGCAGAAGCGGCTGCGGCGGAAGGCGCGGCGGGACGCGCGGGCGCCGTACCACTGGGTGCCCAACCGCAAGGCCGGGCGCACCAACAGCAACAGCAGCGTCTCCAGCGAGGGCAGCCTGGACCTGGACTTCGAGGACTCGGTCTGGAAGCCGGAGGTCAAGGCCGAGATGAAATCCGAGTTTGTCGTAGCATAGAGAGCCCGTTCCCGGGTGGGGCCCCGGGGGACTGTGCCGGGGAGTCGCGCTCGCCGCCCCTGCCGGGGGGGTCAGTGCGGGTGTCGCGGGCCGGGGCTCCTCGAGATTTGCCGTCTCCTGCGACCGGACGCCTTGGTCTGACCCGCGTGTCACGGGGACAGCCCCCCACCCCCCGCTCGCTTGGGTTCGGGGAGATGGGGGGAGCAGCTGGAGCCGCCCCCTCCCCGCAGCCTCCCCCGCTGGGAATGGGGGGGTCCCGACACCCCAGGGGGTCCTGGGACATATCGAAGCTGCTGCTTTGCTGTGAAGAGGGGCTCGGGGGGGGGGTGCTCTGGGCCCCCCCCGTGTCACCCCCCGGTGCAGGCAGGAGGAGGTGAAGTCTCTCTTGGAGGTGCTGGAGCCCCCCTGATTTGGGGGTCGTTTGTTTTCCTTCCCTTCTATATGTAGCATTGCTCGGCTGCGGGGCTGGGCCCCCCCGGGCGCTCGGGGGGGACACGTGTGTGCCTGGGCCCCGCCGCCGCAGCCCGGGGAGGGGGGACGGGGTGGGGGGGGCTTTGTTTTTGGGGGGGGTGTTAATTTTGTTTGGGGAGGGAGAAGCCAAGGCGCCTTCCCTCCGCGGCCGAGCCCAACTTCCGAGTCGCTGGACTCCTTCCCACCCGCCACTTGGGTGGTTGGATTTTCTTTTTTAACTTAAAGAAAAAAAAAAAAAAGGAGAAGAAAAAAAAAAAGAGAAAAAACCTGAATAAATAACCCCAAACTCGGTCCCGGCCGCGGGGCCGGTATTTATAGACATTAATGACCCGACTGAGCCAATACTGACATAGTCTTCATAGGCCGTAGGATCCTTTTTCTTGTCCGACTTGGATTTTTTTCCGTCAGGATCTGTGCAAATAGAGCCCCCACGTGACGTGTTTTTTGTCTGTAAAAGTCTTTTTTTTGTGTGTGTGTGTTTCGGGGATGGGGGGGCGGGGGGGAGAGCGAGGCTTTTTCGGTCTTTAATATTTTATTTTTTATTTTTGAAATAAATTTGGGCAGTCTGGATGCAGCCGTGCCTGGTGTTGTTATGGGGGGGGGGGGGGGGGACATTTGGGCACCCCGTTGGTGTTGTGGGGGGGGCACACAGGACAGCTGTCCATGTATGTGTGCCCAGCACTGCCCACATGTGCACACAACCATGCACAGGTGCCCATGCGTGTGCTCAGCACTCACATACGTGTGTGTACCTGCAGGAGGAAGAGGGGGTGATGGAGCTGCCCCATCCTCCAGGGCAGGGCTGTTTCCACCTTTTCCAGGTGCCAGACCCAGGCCCGTGGCCCTGCCGGGGCTCATCCGACCGGGTGCTCCTGGTCCCGTCCCACCTGGAGGAGCCAGGCCGGTTCCACCAGCTGGGCTGGCCGTGTGTGCTGCCTCCTTCTCTCCCTCCCTTCCTGGTCTCCTGTGTCACGGAGGGGTGGCTGCGGGCCAGGGTGGGGGGTTGATGACCACAAACGTGGCTGTGCCTCAGTTTCCCCACCTGCAGTTGCAGGTCAGTGTCCCTGTGGTTTTCCCCTGCCCCGCGAAAGGTGATGGGATGGGGGTGGCTCTGGGGACGTATGTCAGTGCCATCCCACCCATGGGACCCCCTTCCCACGGCCCCAGCTTCCCCAGGGTGTCAGTGGTTGTGCGGTGCCAGGGCAGGGGGACACCGTGGGCTGGGATTCCCCCGGAGCTGTGCTGTGACACTGACACGGTGGCATGTTGACACTGTCACCCCCAGGCCCTGGGCACACCTGGGGGTGGATGAATCCTCATGAGGGGCTGTTATTTGGGGAGGGGGCGGAGGTGGCTCTTTGTCCCCTGTGTGTGTCCCCTGCCGTGTCCCCCATCCAAAGCTCCGTGGGGCACTCAGCACCCCGTGGGCAGGATGGGGGGCTCGGTGGTTCTTCCCGTGGGGAGCTGGCTGGACCCCAGACCCCCCGAGCAGCCGAGCGCCGGAGGAAGCCGGGTGGGAGCGGAAGCAGCTCAGGTTCCTGTGGTGACAGGAGCTGCACCGGGCACCCCGCGCCCTGCTTTGACGTCATTTCGGGTAGAGCAGACCTCGGCAGCCCCTGGCCCCCCCCCGGCACCCCCAGCCCGTGCCAAATTTGGCAACGGGAAGAGCCGCCGACAGCGGCAGGAGCAACACGGAGACCTTGTAAGGCAATCGCTGCCGGGAGGGCACGCGGGGGACACGCACACGCGTGTGCGCAAAGGGACACGCGCCAGCGGCCGTGCCCGGGGGGGCACGCGCACCATCCTGCTGGGGCTGCTCCCACAGGGACCCCCGGCCCGTCCTGGGGGGTCCCAACAGCTGCTCCTATCCCATGAGCTCAGCTCAGGGTTTGGGGTCCCGGAGGAGCCGGGGGTGCTGCAGGGGGTGACCTGGGACAGGCCCTGGAGCACGGCACGGCACTGCATGGCACAGGATGGACCAGGCACCCCCAGGAGCTGCCTGGGGTACAGCAGGAGACAAGCCAGGACATGGGGCACCACCTTGTGCCACAACAGCTCCTCCTCCATGCTGCCCCCAGCCTGGCCAGCACTCGGCACTGCTGCCAGGCTGTGCTTATCCCAGTGCTCCCAGTATGGAGCAATCCACAGTGCCAGCGTCATGCCTGCGGTGTGGCGCCTGCCGGGGGGGCAGCGTGGGTGTCACCTGGCAGTGTGTGTGTCCATGCACAGGGATGTGTGTGTCTGTGGGAGTGTCCCCACGCACACGGGTGTGTGTCCGTGCACCCACGGCTGCTGGGTGTGGGCAGCTGGCGAGGGTGCCCCCCTCGTCCCTCCACCCAGCCCTCGCTGCAGAGGGTGCGCCAGGAAACACCCACAGCTCCCACAGCTCCCAGAGCTCTCGGCACACCCGTGGGCTCCCGGCACACCCGTGGGCCCCGCGCACGCCCACGGCGCCGGCCACGCTGCGGCCCCGCGGTGCCGGCCACACCCGGGCACAGGCATGAGTGGGGCAGCACGTCAGTCCTTGCACACCCAGCCCTTGCACTGAACACCCACCCACCGCACCCCACAAACACCCCCAGCCCCACCTCACCCCCCGCCTGCCAACACGCGTGTGCACCCCGTGTGTGTGTGCCTGGTGTGCCCACCCCTCGGCCCCGGGACCCCTGCAGCGGCCTCTGCTCCCGCCCTGGCACAGGGCACGGCACGGACCCCCAGCCCCGCAGGCCCCTGGCATCTCCCCCGCCTTGCCCGGCGCTGGCTGCGGCGAGAGACAGGGCTGGCACGGCGGTGCCAGACGCCGGGTGGGCGACGCTGCCGCGTGTCCCTGGCACGGGTTGGGAACACGGCGTCTGCCGCTGCGGGGTCCCAGGTGGGGGCGAGCCCCGGCCCCCGCGTGGGGCTGCAGACAGTCCCCCCCACGCGGCTCTGGGACACCCGCCAAGGCTGGGGCACCCATGGGTAGGTACCCCCGGGCATCCCCGAGGGTGCAGAGACCCCTGAGGGGCTGAGGCCCCTGCGCCAGGCCCCAGTGCTGCCATGGGCCGGGCTGTGGGCTGGCAGCCCAGGCGTGGGGTGCAGAGGCAGCCGGGGGGGCCGGGAGCTGCCGGCACAGGGACGGATCCTGGAATTAAAAACATTCCAGGAACTGACTTTGAACCAGATAAAATAACAAGCGCCGCGAGGAATGTCTCACCCCGCCCGCCTGCCACGGCCCCAGGGCGCTCCCCACGGCCTCCCACTGCCCCACACGTGTCCACAGGCCCTTGCACATGCGTGTGCACACGGCCAGTGTGCCCATGTGCACGCCCCAGCCCAGCTGCAGGTGCAGTCCCCAGGCTGGGGGTGCTCTGGGGCTCCCCAGGGGTCCCCAGAGTGTGGGCTGAGCACCCCATCTGCAGTGAGGGTCTGCAGCACCCCCGGACCGCTCTGTGCACACACAGCCTGTGGGTATTGCATGTGCACACGCGTGTGAACACGGCTGTGCACGCGTGGCTGTTGTGGGTGTGTGCTCAGCTTTCCCCTCCCTCCCCCCCGGCATCCCCAGCCCGCTTCCAGCCCAGCTAGGGGTGCAGAGGGTCCCCCCCTGTCCTGCCCAGCCCAGGGGCCTCCTTGGCCCCCCCAGCCTGGCCGGCAGAGCCCGGCGTGCCTGGGCAGTGACATCACGGGGGCAGCGGGGGCGCGGCGCCAGCCCATCCCTGGGGACCCCCCACCCGCTGGGGCTGGGGTCGCAGAGGGGACAGAGCAGCAGCAGGAGCTTCACTGGGAAGCGGTACTGGTCAAACTGGGTGTCCCAGTCTGGCTGCCTGCCTGTGCCAGAAGCAAAGACCCCAAATCCCCTTCCCCACCTCCATGGAGACCCCCCCCCCCAAAACATATCCCAGCTGACATGCTATGAGAGAGGACACGGGCCAGCTGGCCTCCACAGGCAATGGGGATGTCATCCACAGGGGATGACACTTAAATGGCCTCGGTGTCACCGGCGTGGGCAAAGGCTGACTGCCTGTGTCACCCCAACCCTGCAGCCTGTGCCGTGGGGGTCCTGTCCCCACGGCGTGGTCCCGGACACTGTGGCGGGGCCGAGGGGACACAGGGCTGGAGCGCAGGGCCGGTGTGTCACCGTGTTTACGAGGACCTCGAGGAGCCCTGGTGACGTCCACGCTGGCCCTGCCAGCCCAGGCCCTGCCAGGTGGCACAGTGCCACTGCCACCTCCGGACACCGCTCAGATTTTCAGGGCTGGCGTGGGGCCATCTGGCCCCTGGGCCTGGCGGTGCAGGGGGCACGGAGCAGGGTGTCCCCCCCAAGGAGCCACCGTGCGAGCAGCAGATGGGGCTATTTATAGCGGTGGGACCCACAGGTAGTGACAGTGCGTCAGCAGTGACGCAGCCCCGGGGACGCTCGGCCACTCGCCCCCACAGCCACATCCCAGGGAGGCCCCCGACCCCCCGGCCTCCATCTCCCAGGAGTGGGGTGCTGGGGGGGTCTCCGTGTGTGCCGGTGACACTTGCAGGCTGCTCAGCCCTTGTCTGTGCTGAGGGCCATGTGCCTGCACCCCCCTGCAGATCCACGTGTGTGTACATGTATGGGCACATGGTCCCTGAGAGTGGATGTTGTGTCTCTGCATGGCCAAGGCTGCGTGTGTCGCTGTGTGTGCCCACACGAGCCCCAAGTGCACGGCTGCAGCTGAGCTCATGTTGCTGTGTGTGCCTGTACATGGCCACACGCGTGTTCCGCTGCATGCACACGCTGCGTGTGTGGCCGTGGCGTGTCTCTGCGTGTGCGCGTGGCCACGGTGGCCGGGGGTGACTCAGCCCCCAGGCAGCCCAGGAATGCCCCCTCCCCATTCCCTCCCCGCCCCTGGCCT